GGAGAGACTGAGGCACAGAGGCCATGCCCAGAGTCACCCAGGCTGGAGCCGTGGCAGCTGGGCCATCTGCGCTCTGTTGCTCCTTGGTGGGTGGGCAATGGATGAGGCTGCAGGCTCCGAGGGGGACAACAGGGTGATGGGAGAGTGACTTGGGCCGGGGACTTCCTGGCAGTGGTGGCCAGGGAGCCCCTGAGTCCAGCCTGTTCCCGCTCCCATCCCAGATCTGGAGCCTGGCTGCCAACCACCTGAGCTTTCTCAACTCCTTCAAGATGAAGATGTCTGTCATCCTGGGGGTCGTGCACATGGCCTTTGGGGTGGTCCTTGGAGTCTTCAACCACATGTGAGGGTCAAGGCTGCCCAGGGGCACGGGAGGCTGGCAGGCCAGAGCGGGCCCCGGTGACCGCACCTTCCTCCTGCCTGCCAGGCACTTTGGCCAGAGGCACCGGCTGCTGCTGGAGACACTGCCGGAGCTCACCTTCCTGCTGGGGCTCTTTGGCTACCTCGTCTTCCTTGTCATCTACAAGTGGCTGCGTGTCTCGGCCACCAACGCTGCCTCGGCTCCCAGCATCCTCATCCACTTCATCAACATGTTCCTGTTCTCCCACAGCCCCACCAACCGGCCACTGTACCCTCGGCAGGTGGGCTGCGGCAGGGAGCTGGGCTCACACAGCCTCATGGGGACCCCATAGTCACTGGGCCACTGGGAGCTGCAGGACCCTAGTCTGAGAAACGGGGATGCAGGCCCTGGGCCGTTCAGACAGGGCCATCAGAGATGACAGCATGCATCGTTAGCGGGTGGCATGAGTGACGCTGGGAGCCTGGGGTCCCTTCCCTTAGGAGTCCTTCTGGAGCCAGATCTCCGCTCAGTGAGGGCACGGACCCCCAGGGACCCTGGAGGGAGGAACAGCTGCAGGCTCTCTGGGCCCTGTGACTGCTGTGACCCAGGTTCCTGTGCAGGGGTGCACAGCGGGGGTGCCCTGACTCTTGGCCTGTCCCTGGCAGGAGGTGGTCCAGGCCATGCTGGTGGTCCTGGCCTTGGCCATGGTGCCTGTCCTTCTGCTCGGCACACCCTTGCACCTGCTGTGCCGCCACCGCCGCAGACTGAGGAGGCCCACTGGCCGAAAGGTGGGACTGGGACCTGCGGTGTAGGGAGCTGCTTGGGAGGAGAGGCCACTGTCGGGTGTGTCCCTAACTCCCCACTTCCTCGTGGGCTCCTGAGTGGGCGGGAGCTGGCCTGGCGGGCGGCAGGGGCCCTCCTGGCTGGGGCGCTGCCAGCACTGCCCGCTCTCGCCTCAGCAGGAAGACAAGGCCGGGTTACTAGGCCTGCCCGATGCATCTGTGAATGGCTGGGGCTCCGATGAGGAAAAGGCAGGGGGCCTGGAGGACGAACAGGAGGCCGAGGTGGGTGCGGTGCCTTCCTAGGGGGTGGGAGGGCTGCGGCCCTGCCGGCCCTCACTGTGCCCGCCCTGCAGCTCGTCCCCTCCGAGGTGTTCATGCACCAGGCCATCCACACGATTGAGTTCTGCCTGGGCTGCGTCTCCAACACCGCCTCCTACCTGCGCCTGTGGGCCCTGAGCCTGGCCCATGCCCGTGAGTGACCTGGCTGTCGGGGGCTGGCCCCCGGTCCTCGTTCCTCACACACGGCTGCTAGTTGGGAGGGTTGCTTCTCTCTGAGCCTCAGTTTCCCCTTTGCAAAGTGGGACTGTCCAAGGAGGTCCCTCACCGGCCCCCCTGGGGAAGGGAGGGCTTCAGGCTGCGACAGGTAGGTGGGGAGCTGGCAGGCACCCACTTGCCCTTGGTCCCCACTGTCCCCTCCTTCGCCCACAGAGCTGTCGGAGGTTCTGTGGGCCATGGTGATGCGCATAGGCCTGGGCCTGGGCCGGGAGGTGGGTGTGGCAGCCGTGGTGTTGGTCCCCATCTTTGCCGCCTTCGCCGTGATGACTGTGGCCATCCTGCTGGTGATGGAGGGGCTCTCGGCCTTCCTGCATGCCCTGAGGCTGCACTGGTGAGCAACCGCCCGCTGGCTTGGGCTGCTCGAGGCAGGAGGCAGGGGTTCCCCTCGCCAACCCCTCCTTCTCACCCCCAGGGTGGAATTTCAGAACAAGTTCTACTCAGGCACCGGCTACAAGCTGAGTCCCTTCACCTTCGCTGCTGCAGATGACTAGGACCCACTGCAGGTCCTGCCAGATCCCCCGTCCTGACCTGAGGCAGGAGAGGAATAAAGAGGGTCCACCACAGCACTGCTGTCTCGTCTCTCTTCCCTCCTTTCTAGCTGAGGCAGGTGCGGGGGCAAGGCATGGTCTAGGACCTGGGACCTTGAAAAGTTGAGGCAAGGACATATGAGCAGATCTGCAGTAACCCCTGACTCCTGGGGTGAAAAAGGGCAGAATAGGGCCAAGGAGGGATGTTTCCAGCACATTCTAACTTGGAATGAGCAAATGTCTTCCCAGGCCAGGTCAGGGGAGTAAGCTCCCCATCCTTGGAGGTGTACAACTGGCTGTGAGCAGGTGTCTGGGTTACTCTCTGGGGGGAGTGGTGCCAATATCCATGCCCTGGTGCCAGGCCTCAGTGGGGCTGGAGTTACAGAGCAGCCTGGGGCACCTGAGCCTAGCCAGTGCTCCATGCAGGGCTGTGGTGTCACACGCCCAGAGCCACAGGCCTGCCAGGAAGGCCTGAGCAGCAGACATCGCTCAGGGCCCCGGGGGTCAGAACAGGGGTTGAGCCCAACTCCAGGCCTGGCCTCCCCTCATCTGAGGCCATAGTCTACCCCACCCCTCCCTGGTGGTCCTTCCTGCGTGCTGGCGGGATGGGAGATGGCCTTCTCCAGTTCCCTCTGGCCTGGGTTCCACCTCTGCTGGGAGGCAGAGCCAGTACTTCCCAAGGGCCAAGAAGCTGCAAAGTGGTTCTTCCCACGGCTGTGGCTGTGGCTGGCTTGCTGGGAGGAGCCTGTCCATTGGCTCCTGACTACCCTGCTCAGGACCCCCGATGCCAGGGGCAGTATGAGGGGCTCTGAGTTAATTCCACATGCCCAGCAGACTTGGCTTGAACGGTGCTCACCGTAGTGGGGTAGAAACAGAGGCAGCTGAGCAAAGGGCTCCAGAGAGTTGTGTGCGGATCTGGACCAAATCCAGAACCCCAGGCCTTACTCCCTCCTGGGGTGAGAGCTGGGCAGACTGTGGGCGGGCAGTGAGGTGGGGATAGGTGAGCAGCACTTGCGATGAGTGGCCAGTGATTTAGGAAGGGTGCGGTGTGGGATCCCAGGGAGATGACCAGTTGGCCCTGCCCTGGCTTTGGCATGGGGGTACCTGGCAGTGCTGGGGAGAAGTTCAGTTGCCATGAGAATAGCACAGAAAAAGGCACTGGGGTGGGCACCTCTGTGGCATGGAGGTCATCCGGAGACACAGGGATAGGTGGGTCACCTGCATGGAGGACTCAGCAGTGAACAGGATAGGCCTGAACCCATCCCCGCCCAAGTGAGTTACGGTCTGATGCAGAGACCACTGGGGGAACCAGGAAAGTTAAGCTGGATAGAGAAGCGACAGGCCAGGGCCGGGCCCAGGGGGTTTAGGGAATGGCAGTGTCCTGGATAGAACAGCAAGGCCTGTGATGGTGACCGAGCTGAGCGCGGAGCAATGTGAAGGAGCCCGGTATTTGAAGGTCAGCTCCAAATATATCTCCACAAGGAGACTGCAAGTCAGCTCACGTGCAAAGGAGCAGGCAGAGGCAAGGGCTGACAGAGGCTAGCAGGGCCCTTGGCACAGGAAGACAATGAGAGAAGCTACCAGAGCTCCTATGCAGGAGTGTGACACCATTACTGTTTAATTCAGCTTGGCTTCGCCTGCTTAAAGCTGTAACTCTACAGAAGGGTGAACGGCGCAAGCTCCCCACTGCCCTGCCCAGCTGCTGTGTCACCAGGCACCGGCACAGCTCCTGGTCTCCAGCATCCTCCAGGGCTCTTCACATATGGGCTAGAAGAAGGGAAAGCAGAGTGTGGCAGGAAGGAGGAGGACGGGGGCCCATGGGGCCACATGCTGCTGGGATGCCAGCTGACAGCAGCAGGGCACTGCTGAGCTGAGGAGTGGGATGGGTGCAGCTGGAGCCCTCTGTGGGCTCCTTCAGATACCAGGAGCCCTCCCTGAGATTTAGGACACAACCAAGGGTGACAGCTTGAGAGGCTGGGTGTTTATTTGTAGAGTACAATCGCTGTGGTAGCAGAAATACACGCAGAGAAAACGATTCAAACAAGAGTTCTGAGTAAAAAAAGGTCAGCTATGACTGAGTCCACGGGACATTTCATATATATGGTTTTCACAGTTAACTTGTTCCACGCCCCACACCACATGCAGGCTGCCATCTCCCACAAGAATGACTATGTCAGGGACATTGGGAAAGGTGAGGGCTGGGAAAGCAGGCCCCCAGAGAGCCCAGGCCAGGGTTTCCCTCACCCTGCCCAGGGGCGGCCCAGCTCACTCACAGGATCCCAGGCTCCCGACAGAGCAGAAGGCAGGAGAGGCCCAAAGAGCTGGCTCAAGCAGCTGGCTCCCCTGGGAGGGGAGGCGGGAGACAGGGAGGTCCTCACACCACCCCTGTGGCCACGCACAGCTGTCTGCACACTCCATCAGGAGGAAGCGCAGGGAAGTCACATGCAGTACAATGAAACTCATCGATGTAACACACCCACCCAGCAGGAGGGGAGAGGTCCACTCCAAGTGCAGGTGGCCTCGGCTGCTCCAGCTTCAGCCAGGGGACCAAGAGGGTAGAGGAGCAGCTTCTGGGGGCCCCAGGCAGAGGCCACCTTGCAGCAGTGATTGGCGGCTTCACAGTACACCTATGCTCACTTGCCGTGCCTCAGGAGTGAGCAGTGTCTATAACACATAGCTATCTACAAAAGCGTGGTCACAGTATTCACCAGCACACTCATGAAAAAAAATTAAATCAACATTAACCACAGTACCTGCAAGTAACACTGCTTACTCTTGCCGTCTGCCATATCTGACTGGAAACCTTAGTCCCCAAATATGAAACGCCTTCTCTAGATTAAAAGGATTCAGAGGTGTTGCACTATTGCACTATATTTCTGCTTCCCAATCTTGTTTGAGTCCTAGTGAAATCGTAAACAGATGAATTAAATGTCGCTCCATTTTATACAGTCTTTAGTATCATACACATCTGTGTTCAGTAGTGAGCCACCCAAAGCCTCCTGCTGCAGGAGCAGTAGTCGAAGCACAGAGGGGACCCCGCTCCGCCGCCTTCCCATGCAGTCCAGTGATGAGGTGGATGGAGTCCTCCCCACAGTCACACCCCAAGCTTCCTCTTCTGGTGGAAATAGGCATCAAACCTTGCTTGGGCGTAGTCCTAGGAGACAGCAAAGAGAAGGCCTCAGCAAGAGCTGGCCTGAACCCTGCCCATGTATCCCCCAACCCCACCCCCATCAACAGCTGAGGGCACAGACCCATGAGACCATCAGCACAGGACCAGCCTGTGCGGCAGGGCTGCCCGGGGGCCTGGGTGCTCCCACAGATGTGGGCTCCTTAAGCTCCCAGCCCACCCCGCAAACGTTCACTCTTAGGAGGCCCTGCCTCTCCAACGGACATCTTGTCCACACACTGGGCACTGCTACCATTCATCAGCTTGCTAACCTTGGGTGCTGTGGACACTGACTGATCAACATAACACACCTTTTAGAACAAAAGGTCTCTGGAACATAAGCAAATCTTGAACAGAAGGGGAGAAAAAAGATGCCACCTGTCTACCAGGATCTCCTGCAGCATGACTTTTAAAAAGGACACTAAGAGGCAGCAGAGAAAACCTGGCTTGGCGTTCTAAGTCTCTTCCCTCATCTGTTCATCAATGAGGACAACACAATCTCAAAGACCCACTCCTGATCTCAAAGTCTACAATTCTAGATGCCAGGAAGATTACAAGATCACTTTTTTGAAAAATAACTTTGAGTTGTAATTTCTACTCCACAAGCACGAGCCCATTTTAAATGTACAGGTGGAGAGCTTTCCCAGATGCATTCAGCCAGTTCACCAGCACTGCAGTCAGGAGACCTGTATTTCCAGCATCCCAAGAAGTTACCTTGGGCCTCTTGCAGTTGGCCACAGGCAGCCACTGACCCAATTTCTGTCACTATAGATCAGACTTCTCTTTCCTAGAGTAGCACATAAATGCCACCATACAACGTGCAGCCTCTTGTGTCTGCCTCCTAACTCCGCGTGATGTCTCTGAGTTGTCGTGCTGTCGTGCATTGGTGCCGCCTTCCTTTGCATTGCCAAATGTTCTCAGTACATGGATCCGGCACTGTAGTATCCACGCACCTGCTGCCTGGTATTTAGGCTACTTCTAATTTGGGACATTACAAATGAAGCTGCAGGCCTGGCACAGTGGCTCACATCTGTAATCCCAGCACTTTGGGAGGCTGAGGCACGAAGATCATTTGAGGTCTGGCGTTGGAGACCAGCCTGGCCAGCATGGCGAAACCCCCTCTACTAAAAATACAAAAATTAGCCATGTGCCGTGGCAGGCACCCATAATCCCAGCTACTCAGGAGAACCCAGAAAGCGGAGGTTGCAGTGAGCCAAGATTGGACCTCTGCACTCCAGCCTGGGCAACAAAAGCAAGACTGTCTCAAAAAAACAAATAAGGCCGGGCACAGTGGCTCACGCCTATAATTCCCCCAGCACTTTGGGAGGCTGAGGTGAGTGGATCACGAGGTCAAGAGATCGAGACCATCCTGGCCAGCATGGTGAAACCCTGTCTCTACTAAAAATACAAAAATTAGCTGTGTATGGTGGCATGCGCCTGTAATCCCAGCTACTCGGGAGGCTGAGGCAGGAGAATCCCTTGAACCCAAGTGGTGGAAGCTGCAGTGGCCATTGCACTCCAGCCTGGTGACAGAGTGAGACTCTGGACTCTGTCTCAAAACCAACCAACCACAAACGAAGTTCCTATGAGCGTATGAGTGCAGAATCTGCTTGGTGTAGAATCTGCTTTCATTTGTTCTGGGAGAATTCCCCAGGAGGGCTGCTGGGTGGTATAATGCCTCTTCACACTGGCTGTCCCAGGCCGCATTCCCACCAGCAGCGCACATGCATGCCCATTGCTCCATCTGCTCGCCGACATTTGGGACTGTCAGTTCTTTCAAGTTTTAGCCATCACTGTGGGTGTGTAGGTATGAGGCTTTGAGTCACATTTCTTTAGTGATTAATTATATGAAACACATGAAAAAATTCTTACTGGCCATGTGTTTCTCGTCTGTTAAGTGTCCAAATCTTCCATCCATTTATAAAACAGGATGTTTGGTTTCTGACTGAGTTATAAGTTCTTTATATATCCTAAATACGAGTCCTTTATTAAATATACATTTGTAGCCGGGCGCGGTGGCTCACGCCTGTAATCCCAGCACTTTGGGAGGCCGAGGCGGGTGGATCACGAGGTCAAGAGATCGAGACCATCCTGGTCAACACGGTGAAACCCCGTCTCTACTGAAACTACAAAAAATTAGCTGGGCATGGTGGCGCGTGCCTGTAATCCCACTGAAGCTCCTGTGCTCAGAACCCTTTCAGACCTCATCCCATGTATGTATCTCTTCACTTTGTTAGCTAGGCATGGTGGTGAGCGCCTGTAGTCCCAGCTACTTAAAAGGTTGAGACAAGAGGATCACTTGAGCCCAGAAGTTTGTAGACCAGCCTGGGCAACACAGTGAGACCGTCTTCAAAAAAAACAACAACAAGAAAAATATACTTTGTAATACACCGGTAAATTTATGTGTTTCCCTGAGTTCTGTGAGCCACTTCAGCAAATCAACTGAACCCAAGGAGGGGAACGTGGGAACCCCAATATATGGCTGATTAGTAGGAATTCTGAAGGCCTGGACTTGCAACTGGTGTCAGAAGTGGGGTGGGGGCAGTCTTAGGGTCTCAGCCCTCAATCTGTGGGGTCTGACTCTGTCCCTAGGTAGACAGTGTCGGAATGGAACTGGAGGACACCCAGCTGATGTCCACTCCGGAACTGATGGCTTGTTTGCTGGTAGGAGAACCGCCCTGGATGTGGTCACTTTTGTTTTCTGTGGTGATTGTTGCTAATGAAGGAAATGGGAAAAAGTACTTTGGTCTTCATGTGTTTTCCACTCATAGCAACTTATTCTACTTTTTTTTTTTATGGCTAGTCCTTTATACAACCCAAGAAATCTGTGCTTAGGTCACCAAGCTTTTCTCCTGTATTTTCTTTGAGAAACGTAATAGTTTTAGCTTTCACATTTAGGTCTATTATCTGTTTCAAGTTGATTGTTGTGTATGGCATGACATCAGGTTCAGTTTTTTCTCCATATGACTCTTGAGTTGTTCTTAAATCATTTTTTTGAAAATATAATCCTTTCCCTCATCAATTACCTTGGCCTTTCTGTTGAGTACCAGGTGACTATATACATGGGGATCTATTTCTGGGCACTATATTCTGTTCCATCTATTTTTTTTTTAAATTTTTTATTTTTGAGATGGGGACTTGCTCTGCTGCCCAGGTTGGAGCACAGTGGCAGGACCACAGCTGCCCTGAGTCTGCAGACTAAAGTGATCTTCCCACCTCAACCTCCCAAGCAGCTGGGACTATAGGCATGTGCTACAACACTCAGCTAATTGTTTTTGTACCTTTTGTAGAGATGGGGTCTTGCTATGCTGCCCAGGCTGGTCTCCAACTCCTAGGCTCTAGTGATTTCTCCTGCCTCAGCCTCCCAAAGTATATGTGGATGACAGGCATGAGCCACCACACCCAGATGATTTATGTCATCTTATGCCAGCACCATAATGCCTTGACGTCTGTGCTTCAAAGAAGTCTTATAACCAGATAGCAGAAGTCTTCTAACTTTGTTCTTTTATAAAATTATTTTGGTTATTCCTCACTCTTTGCATTTTCATATAAATTTTAGGATCAGCATGTCAGTTTCTACATAGACACCTGTAGCGGTTTTGCTTAGGCCTAAGGAGAATGTATAGGTCAGTGTGGGGAGAATGGACATCTTCACCTGAAGGCTTCCATCCATCATGGTGGTCTCTCCTCTGCTTATTTTGCTTCTTTATTTTTCATACTCTTTTATAGTTTTCAATGTACATATCTTACACATATTAAACATTTTTCCAGGTACAATTGTTTCTAGCATGTAGAAATATAACTGATTTTTGTGTACTGACCTTGTATTCTGTGACCTTAATAAAGTCATTCATTAGGTTAAGTAACTTTTTTGTTGATATCTTTATTATTTTAAATGTCTTCTAAAGAACAAAGGCAGTGTTTCTTCCTTCCCAGGGTGCCTACATTTCCCTTCTTTGTCTGGCCTCACTGCGATGGCTAGGAGCTCCAGTTCAACACGGAAGAGATGCAGTGAGAACAGGCCGCCTTACATATTCTGTAGTTGGGGCAGGGATAAGAGGGGGCATTTTTCCTTTTACCGCTACTGACAATGTTGGCCGTGGGTTTTTCATACATGCCTTTATCTGGCTGAGAAAGATCCCCTCTAGTCCTAGTTTGCTGAAATTTTTTAAATCTCATTGGATTCTGTCAAATATGTTTTCCTGTGGTTCCTGAGATAATCATGTGGTTTTCACCTTCATTCTGTTAATATGAAGAATTATATTAACTGATTTTTCGATTATAAACCAGCCTTGCATTCCAGGGATAAATACTACTTGGTCATATTACCCTTTTATAAATGTTAGCGGATTTACTTTTTGTCAATGTTTTGACAGGGATTTTGTGTAATGTTTCTTCTTGTGGAATATAAACATTTAAGCTACAAAGCTGTAAGTTTCTAAATACTGCTTTATGTATATCCCAGAAATGCTGACATGCTATGTTTTCATTATAATTCAGTTTAAAATATTTTCTCATTTTTTAAAAAATTTCTTTGACCCAGGGTTTATTTAGAAGTATACTGTTTAATTTCCAAATAACTGAGAGTTTTCTAGGTATCTTTTGTTGTTGATTTCTAATTAAATTTCACTGAGAACATATCCAGTATTATTTCAATCCCTTTGAATTTATCAAGACATGTTTCATGGCCCAGGATATGGTCTATCTTGAGGAATATTCCACATTCATTTGAAAAGAATGTTCACCCGGCAGTTGCTGGGAGGTTTAATGAACGCACATGAGGCCAGGCTGGTAGAGAGAGCTGTCAGGCCCTCTCTTCCTGCATGTGTTCTTCCTGTTCTAACCACAGCAGAGAAGTGGTGAGATCTTTTTTTTTTTTTTAAGACAGAGCGGTACCCGTTTCCCCAGCTGGAGTACAATGGCGCCATCTTGCCTCACTGCAAACTCCACCTCCTGCCTCAGGCAATTCTCCTGCCTCAGTCTCCCGAGTAGCTGGGATTACAGGCATGTACCACCATGCCTGGCTAATTTTTGTACTTTTAGTAGAGATGGAGTTTCACCATGTTGGTCAGGCTGGTCTCAAACTCCTGACCTGAAGTGATCCACCCGCCTCATCCTCCCAAAGTGCTGAGATCACAGGTGTGAGCCACCACGCCCGGCCAAGATCTCCTACTTTAATCGTGAATCTACCTTTCTTTCCTTTCACTTTTGTCAGTTTTGATATCACATCTTTTGAAGCAAGATGAGGGTTTTTAATGTCCTCCGGATACCTTTATTATTACAAAATGCCCTTCTGTATCTCTAGTAATAATCCTTATTATGAAGTGTACTTTCTTACAGTATCATCTGACCAGGACTCAAATCTGCTTTAAAAATCCAATGTCCCCTTGATTTACCTAATATCATTTTTACATTACCAAACCTTCTGCCTAGAAGTAGAAATCATTCTAGTATAAGACTGAGGAGGACAAAATAAACTAGTCCCATCCCCGTCTCAGAGGAAGGCAGCTCACTAGACTGTAGAACTGTAGACATCTGTGTGTTGACCCCCACCCCAAGACACCCCACCAACATTCATTCACTGTGGGACAACAAGAAAGGTTTATCTCAAGGTTAAAAATACTTTCTATGTCAAGAACAGCTTTTTTTTTTTTTTTTTGAGACAGAATCTTGCTCTGTCGCCCAGGCTGAGTGCACTGGCATGATCTTAGCTCACTGAAACCTCCACCTCCCGGGTTCAAGGAATTCTCCTGCCTCAGCTTCCTGAGTAGCTGAGATTACAGGTGCCCACCACCACACATGGCTAATTTTTGTATTTTTAGTAGAGACGAGGTTTCTCTCCAACTCCTGACCTCAGGTGATCTACCCACCTCAGCTTCCCAAAGTGCTGGGATTACAGGTGTTAGCCATTGCACCCGGCTGACAGTTCTTAAAGTTAGAAAAAAATGATAGCCTAGCTTGTTTACAAAAAACATGCCTGCGAAAAACAGGAGGTCAAATTTAGTAATTATCAGCTTCCAACTCGAAGTCGGGCACTACAGGCTGGAGAATTAAGTGGTAACCGATAAATAAAACCCTCCACAGCACAGGCAAGAGCCACCCACTCTTCTTCACTTACTATCCCGTGTCAGAAAGGACTGAGGTCAGCGCTGGACCTCTAGGGTGCAAATGCCTACATTCTCCACTGCGGGACTGGAGGACCACCTGGCACTTCTCTGAAGCAGGAGAGGCAGGGGTCTGCTGTCCTGGAAGTGAGGGCAACCTCCAAAGACAACCACAGCATTAGTGAGAGCGGCTTCTCCCACAGCTTCCTGGGCTGAGCCACACTGTCCTGGTGCCACCAGGTTATCACATTCAGGTACATGGGGAGACAGAGAACCCTCTATAAGGAACGGTCATTTGCTGTGGAGCATTCACAAATACTGTAGCATTTTTTCCTGAGAGTAGGAAGGGAAAAAAAGCTGCTAAAACATACCATGTACCCAAATTCAATAGATGAAATCTTGGCTTGTACAATGGACCAAAGTCCCCAGAGGAAATGAGATGCAAGGGCAAACCTGGAATGACAAAAGCAAGAAACACATATGAGATATACAGTATCAGTTACAGGACTGATATAATGATTTCATGCCAGATGGACATTCTAACTTGTGTGGATGCAAAACCTAGTTAGTGTTGGCAAATCATGGGTCTATATTCCATGGGACTAATTAAGAGCAATGGGACTATCACTCCCACACCCTTCCCTCCTTTGCTAGTGATAGGTGCACTTGTGAGTGTAAACACACACAGCTGGTCTGGCCATGGCACACACGACAACATTCACAGGATGCAGGTGGAGGCCTGGGTGGCCATGCTGGCAGAAAAGAAAGCAAGCTTGCTACAAGGGAGGGGCCATAGCATCATCAACCAAGAGGCAGGCCTTTGCTGGAGGAGGGATGAAGCTCTCACTCCTTGAGCCAGAGACTTCTCAAATCCCATCCTTGTCCCATGCCCTCTTATCACACAGAATTGAAAGGAGCAGATGAGAGAGCATGAGCCACGTCACCGTCTCTAGGCTATGCCAACCCCCCCAAGTCACTGCAAATCCAAGTTCTTCCACAAACAACACCCTGAGGGTACATCCACATGAAGATAAAGCTCAAATTTAGGAGTGCCTGCTCTAGTATCCTCCAACCCTACTCTCTGTCTATCTTGGGGTCCCAAGGACCACAAACGTCACTTGTGCTACCCTTTCTGTCTGGTTCTCTTCCAACCGCCTTTTTCTATTTCCACCAGTTCAAGAAACAGAAAAAGATGATGTATGCTGCAGTGGGGACTGGCAGGCAGGCAGAGGTGACATCGCACTTAGTGTGGGGGTAAGCACTCTGGAGGCCAGGAGGAGATGACTGTGGTAGGTGCAGTGGAAAGATGAGGTGGGCCACAGTGACTTAAACAGCCATTTTACCAAATAATGTCACAGGAGACCCCAAAGAATAGGAATAACCCACAGGCCTCTTGACTAAAGAGATGGAAAAATAGTGGTCTAGACCTTTGCAGAATCTGGAAGTTTCAGGGCCCTGCTTTGAAAACTGTTGAGAAAACAATTAAAAGCAAGCCTTAATACTGATAAACATGAGTTTAATCATTTTCTAGGAGAAACTTAAGAGTCACAACACAGCAGACAGTGCCCGCCACTCCACAAGCATCATTGACAAGCTTGCAGGGCCAGGTACGTGGCCCACACCTGTAATCCTAGCACTTTGGGAAGCTGAGGCAAGAGAACCGCTTGAGCCCAGTTCGTGACCAGCCTGGGCAAGAGCAAGACCCCGTCTCTACAAAAGAACACAAAAATTAGCCAGGCATGGTGGTACATGCCTATAGTCCCAGTTACTTGGGACACTGAAGCAAGAGGGTCGCTGGGAGTTAGAGGCTACAGTGAGCCATGATCACATCACTGCACTCCTGCCTGAGTGAGAGAGCAAGAACCTGTCCCCCGCCCCCCTCCCCAAAAAAAAAAGAATCTATAGGCCCTGGGTGGCAACAGCCCTGTATGGCTGGGTTGTTCTGTCTGGATGACAGTTCAGAATGCCACAAAGTGTCCTGACCCTTCTTGGACATGGGACCTCTTCATGTAATATGGTTTGGCTCTGTGTCCCCATCCAAATCTCATCTTGTAATCCCAACATGTGGAGGGAGGGAACTGATAGAAGGTGATTGGATCATGGGGGTGATTTCCCCCATGCTGCTCTCACAATAGTGAGGAAGTTCTCATGAGATCTCATGGTTTTAAAAGTGTCTGGTAGTTCCACCTTCTTCTTTCTCTCCCTCTCTCTGTCTCTCTCTCCTGCACCATGTAAGTAAGATGTCCCTTGCTTCCCCTTTGCCTTCTGCCATGATTGTAAGTTTCCTGATGCCTCCCTGGCTACGCAGAACCATGTCAATTAAACCTTCTTTCTTTATAAATTACTCACTCTCTGGTAGTATGTTCATAGCCATGTGAGAACAGGGTAATATACTTTGCCTGCTGTATGCTCAGATCTAAAAGATCTGCATAGTCTCAGCCACAATGGAGAAGTAGGAGATTCTATTTTTGAGAAAGGGCAAGTCTTAAAGATGTATGATTTAAAAGAAGCTCCTAGGGTGGGCATGGTGGCTACACCTGTAATCCCAGCACTTTGGGAGGCCGCGGTGGGCAGATCACCTGAGATCAGGAGTTCAAGACCAGCCTGGCCAACATGGCAAAAGCTCATCTCTACTAAAAATTTAAAAAATTAGCCAGACATGGTGGCGGGCGCCTGTAATTCCAACTACTCGGAAAGCTGAGGCAGGAGAATCATTTGAACCCAGGAGGCAGAGGTTGCGGTGAGCTGAGATTGCGCCACTGCACTCTAGCCTGGGTGACAGAGCAAGACTCTGTCTCAAAAAAAAACAAAAAACAAAAAACAATAAAAGCTCCTAAAATACTCATAATTGCAAGTAAGCATCCCGAATATAGTCTATACAGAGGAAAGCTATTTTTACAAATTGAAAAAGGAAAAATGTTACCTATTGACTTCAAGCAACATTTCTTCTTCTATAATGGACTTTTCTTTAGTACTGAGGTTTTCAAAGTCATTTTGGAATGCAGCCAAGTAACTGGAAATAAAATGGAGCTTAAAAAAAAGTAATTGTGTTAGGATGGTTAAAATAGACAATGTCAATAGCTGTCATGAAGCACATGCATCTACTGTGACACCCTGGGAGACACACGCTCGACATGACGTCACCATCTCCAACATCCTGGGGCTGGCACCAGTGAGCCAACCTTTGCTAGGTTTTCAGCTGCTCTCTCTCCCCAGGGTTTCTAGTGGAGGTACAGTGTCTAGGCTCTTCAGCATACTTTTTCCATTTCGAGTAGCAATTAAAACATAAACTGGAGACCATTATTTTGGAGGCAGGCTTGGTGCACTCTCCCAGCCCTACTCAGCTTCAGCACTGCTGCGAAGCAGGAGAAAGTTCCCATGAGAGCTGATTCTCGAACAATCACCAGCATCCTCCCATCATTTAGAACAGGAAAAGGAATTGTTAACACCAAAGACATTTCTTCCCATTACTAAACCCTGGTCCCCAAAAGATTACTTCTCTCTCCATAGCGTGAAATGAATAGAAAAAGGTCAGTGATCCCCAAAAAGATGGCCAGAAAGCAGAATCAAGGCTGGGCTTTTCAGAAAACACTAGAAGGAACTATCAAGGATGCTAAAGTTCTTCTCTGAATACGAGTATCTCTGGCACACAGATTTTTAAAAAGCTGGACTAAAAGGTCAAGTTTGTGTCTACAGATTTAACAAACAAAGTAACATTTTTTAACATACACCAAATTTTTTTTTTTTTTTGAGACAGAGTTTCGCTCTTGTTGTCCAGGCTGGAGTGCAATGGCGCGGTCTCGGCTCACCGCAACCTCCGCCTCCTGGGTTCAGGCAATTCTCCTGCCTCAGCCTCCTGAGTAGCTGGGATTACAGGCACGCACCACCATGCCCAGCTGATTTTTTGTATTTTTAGTAGAGACGGGGTTTCACTATGTTGACCAGGATGGTCTCGATCTCTTGACCTCGTGATCCGCCCGCCTTGGCCTCCCAAAGTGAACATAAACCAAATTTTTAAAAGTCATCTTTAAAAATGAAGATGTAGGTCGGGCGCGGTGGCTCATGCCTGTAATCTCAGCACTTTGGGAGGTCGAGGCGGGTGGATCACGAGGTCAAGAGATCGAGACCATCCTGGTCAACATGGTGAAACCCCATCTCTACTAAAAATACAAAAAATGAGCTGGACATGGTGGCACGTGCCTGTAATCCCAGCTACTCAGGAGGCTGAGGCAGGAGAATTGCCTGAACCCAGGAGGCGGAGGTTGCGATGAGCCGAGACCGCGCCATTGCACTCCAGCCTGGGTAACGAGAGCGAAACTCCGTCTCTAGGCCAGGCGTGGTGGCTCACACCTGCAATCCCAGCACTTTGGGAGGCTGAGGCAGGAGGATCACTTGAGTCCAGGAGTTTGAGACCAGCCTGGGTAACTTGGTGAAACCCTATCTCTACAAAAAATACAAACAATTAGCTGGGTGTGGGGGCATGCGCCTGTGTTCCCAGCTACTTGGGAGGCTGAGGCAAGAGGATCACCTGAGTGCAGGAGGTCAAGGGTACAGTGAGCCATGATCGCATCACTGCACTCCAGCCTGGGAAACAGAGACCCTGTCTCAAAAAATAAAAAAGATGATTTAATTCTAACTGCATGAAATTGACATGTAATTTTCCTATCAAGTATATAAAAACCCATCTCCTACCTGTTGTTTCTTGGTGGGATATTTCCGGATATTTGCTCTGAAAAAAGGGTACTTTTCATAGGTATAATCATATATCCACTCACAGAAATGATTCCCAATGTCGAATCCCCTGAAACAAGAGATAAGACAGTGCATGCAATGAGGCACACCATATGCCTGGATGCTCCCTGACTGCAGAAGAAAGAAAGACTGAGTTCCGAGCACACCACTCCTGTTGCCAGCTGGACTTGCTGAGGGAGCAGGACTGTAACTGCTTTAATGACAGACAGAGCCAATCAGTTGACTGTCAGCATCACAGCTGACTGAAGCTATAAAGGCGCACCTGAACCACAACTCCAGAACAATGTGTCTCCTCGACCACGATTTATGAGAAGAAAATGATCTCTGAAGCCAAAAGAAAATGCCAAAGTCTGGACTGAACTGCATGGCTGCCCCCCACTCGCGCCGTCAGCTAGGAACAAAGGGGACCATGCTTCCTCACCACAGCCATCATGCACCACTGGACAAGAAGCCACCCCTTCTAGGTGAAGCAGCTTGTAACTCAGAGTGGTGTTTTGACTTATTTACTCTTGTAATTGTTTAATAAGCATGACATAATCATAAAACAATATTGAGATGGAAATACTGGACTGTAACATATTACCTGTAATTGTAGCTGCTGTATTCGAAGTCAATGAGCATCAGTTTCTGCTTTTCAGAATTCTCTCGGCCTTCCAGCAACAAGATATTACCTGCAAAAGGTTTGGATAACATGGCTCACGTTTTACAATAGAAGGCTCAAGTCCTTGAAGAGCAGAGCCGCGGGAATGGATCTGACCCTTTCAAAAAATACTAAGTGTGGCTTTTGGTCTGTGGACATCACCAGGGCCTAGATAAGAGCGTAGGAGAAGTGCTCATGGGAGGCCTGGCCCTGTGCAGGGAGACTCCTCACCCACCTGGCCATGAGAACCCCTGCTCACATCCCTAGTTCCCGTTGGACCCCCAGGCTCACTGTGGAACAGAGCCTGGCCTCTCACTCTGCTGTCAGGGCAGTAACTCTCAAACGTTCTGCAAGGTGACATGCAGCTCAGGCTAGCCAAACACCACCCTCAGCCGCCTTGGGACTTGGTTTGCTGTCTGCAGGCCAGCTGGCTGCAGCACCCCAGCTGGGAAGCTGTGGGAATGTCCTCCCGGTGAGAAAGGCTAGGGAGAGCTCAGCTGCCACAAGGGATCCTCTGCTTTGTCCCTGCCTGGTTTTCCTTCCCAAGGAGACCATAGGCAGCATTCCTACAACGCTACTTCCTTTAGTGCTGGATTCTGGGTCAGGAGTGGATTGGCCACCAGCCTGGTTCTGCAGGCCTGTGTTCCTGAGATCCCCTGACGTTCAGCATTTCCAACCTCCTGGTGCTGGCACCAGTGAGCCTACCTTTGCTAGGTTTTCAGCTACTCTCTTCCCCCAGGGTTTCTAGTGGAGGTACAGTGTCTAAGCTATTCAGCATACTTTTTCCATTTTGAGTAGCAATTAAAACATAAACTGGAGACCAGAAAAGGTATACTGGCTCACACTTGTAATCCCAGCAGTTTGGGAGGCAGAGGTGGGAGGACCACTTAAGCCAGGAGTTTGAAACCAGCCTGGGCAACAGAGAAAGACTCCATCTCTACAAATAATTAGCCAGGCGTAGTGGCGTGTGCCTGTGATCCCAACTACTCGGGAGGCTAAGGCAGGAGGATCACTTAAGCTCAAGAGGTTAAGGCTGCAATGAGCCATGACTGCAACACTGCACTCCAGCCTGAGTGACATGGCAATAGTCCTTTCCAAAAAAAAAAAAAAAAAAAAAAAAAAAAAGACAAATTGGAGGCAGAAACCCAAAGCAGCAGAACAAAACTAATGTACAACTGTTATCTCTTCTATCCCTCCTACACTTTGCCATCATCAACACAGCTGATCTCTTCCAGACCCCTCTCTGGTGATATCTATGCCCCCTCACCATCAGAGGGCAAGGATAATACACAAAGCTGTGGATGAAATGTCTACACCCTCCTTGACTTGAGTTAGCCAGCAGAGAGCAGCTAATTAGTAAAAGGTATTTTGGCTCAAATGAATGGCTTACAGATGACAGGTCTTCATGAG